CATCGATAACATTTTCCAATCGATATTTCAAGATGCTAAACTGGGCACACACCAGTGTATAAAATCCTGGGATAACCGTATCACAGCCGATGCAAATATTCGCACCAAGGGTGATAACAAAGAGTTGTGCACAGAATGTTGACCAGTAGAGGATCGGCTGGGAGTAATCGAAAGGTAGCCACACCTTGTATGGCAACACACCGAAGGGTATTCCTTGAAAGAAAGCGGAGATGCTCATGATCCACACAGAAATTTCAACCACTCCACCATAAAGAAAGGTAAAAAATCTTTAAATCACATTGTCATGATAATATCCACCAAAGAATATCCATAATTAAAGCATGCAATAAACCGAATGACTCACCTGATGCGTCGATTGAAGAATTCCTGGATTTTCTCCTCGTGGATGTTCATGGGTTTGTACGGATTCATTTCCAATGACGAGAGAATATCGATAATATCCGATCTCTTCAGCAGAACCACCATTGATTTAACACATACGGAGAATATCGTCAGCATCATGAAGCAGCTATCAGAGAAGTCCTCGAGGTTTTCGATTATGGTGAAGAGACCGAGTGCCTCGGATATCATGAAGCAATTGAGTATCGTCAGCAAGTGAATTGTGTAAATCAAGTAAGCACGTGATTTAAAACTATTCGGTGGCCAGCAGGGTGGCTGCCAGAGACCTACGTACTGCAGCTGAATGAAATTCTCACGTAGCAGTACCATGTTTACCCCTTCAATGCCAACACTCGTCTACTATCGATGGGGAGGACTGAGCTCCGGGGCTGTTCATTGAATATTCTGCGGTCATTATCCCATTTTCAACAGATGTCCATTCCTCGTGCTGAATTTTCCTTCAGGCTTTTAACGGGGGGGAAGTATGACGAGTGGAAATTCAAACTGCACCCCTTCGGATGACAATGGGGATGACATCGTCATGGATTTATTATTCAATGGGTTTCTCTCCAGCTCGTGGTGTAAAGGTTTAGGGACGAATTGCAATCCTCACACTGTCTTCGTACCTTGGAATAAACCTATTTTATATTTCAATCAGACTGCAAGCTCGCGGGCTTTTTGGAGTGCCAGGCGGCTTCAGGGAATTTTACTGGTGATTTACAGAAATTTCTTTCTGGTTTTTGGATTAATTATCGATTGTAGTTGTCCGTCGAAATACACATTCCGTGGGGAGGATCCATTCAATTGTTATTGTTATTGTTATTTTTGATTATTTATAGATTTATTATTTATAGATTGACGCAATTGAGGGAGTGGATGATGATGTATGTGATACAGGTTTGCATTGGAAATTTTAACGGTTTTTTGGAAAGTTATTCGGTCTTTATTCATTGATTCAGTTCAGAGAATTGAATCCTCCGATTAACAAGTGTTTTTATTTATTTAAATACTACGTTGGATTACTATTTAGTACTCTGTTGCAGCATCGCATAGGCTGAGTAAGATCGTTGTAAAAGCTGAAAATGATTACTCGTTTATTATTACGATTAC